TTGTTATTAAGCTTAATTACCGAGAATCATAATCTGTACAATAAATCCTGGATGCATAGTTAATACAGTACATCAGGATACATTACCTTCAACCTCTCCTTATTGTTGACAGCACAGAGTGTATAATTAGTCCAAGTCGTGTTGCTCTCTGGAAGGTGAAACCACTGCCCGTCTTCTCCACAGTACTTAGTGGCCTTTTCTAAAAAAGAACAAATATGTGATGAATTATACTGTATGTTACAAATTCTCTTCATTCAGTCTATAAATCTGTGCAGCTGTGTTCCAATTAGATTCACAAATCAATCCTCACAGCAACTTTATAGTCAATCTTCTCCAAATACAGGACAATAAGGTCAGAAGAGATTAACAAGATATCAGACGACCTTTAAAACAAAAGCAAAATTCTCACCTGTGGGTTCAAAGTCAAGAAGATAATCTGGACAGTTTTGGGAGGCGAAGGTTCCCGCTGGAGTGTCGTCCCAGCACAACCAGCCATCCCAGTTACGACTGCAGTGCTGCCCTGCAACGTCAACGAAGCCAAAAAAACATGATGACAAATGTTTACCGGTCTCTTGGTCGCACCATCATGCCCCCTCTCAGATTAACACAGTACAGTAGTTTAAGTAGACGGTATCAGTACCTGATTTGTTAAAAGGTGGGTCTCGAATTAATTTCTGGTGGCACGTGTATACATTCTCACGCATTTGTTTCTGCAACAAACAAAAAAATGTATAGACAAAATGAGAATTTACCAAAAGTGTGACTCAATTCCTGATCCACAATAATCCCTTGTGGCCAGAGCTGCGGGTCAAACTGTTTAGGCAAATTAAACTACAATAATTGTTTAGATGCTGGGAGCTTTGGTGGAAAGCTAATTTTTCACAATTAGTATGCCACCTTATGTAGCTGCACCTTCAATTTAGACTTAATTCGTACAATTTTGTATCCTAACACTACTTTGTACCGTTATAATGGATCAAAAGTTACTGCTCCCATTACATGCCTTGAGTATAAACCTTGACATCACTTGTATCTCTATTGTGTTTTTACTGTACTACTGCTGTGTGTGTGGCTGACCCCCTGAAATCCCAAAGCTAATAATTATCCTGCATATGTTCTGAGCATTGGAAACCATGTACCAGTGTCACCACGTGTCTTGAACTTTCAGTATTGAACCTATATGCATATCTGTATATTAAATATACGATGTAAAGTTTATTTCATCAACAATACTTTACCGTCAGTCTCTTCTCATGGGTGGTTTCGCACAGTGTATAGTTGGTCCAAATCCTATTGGACTCTGGGTGGTGAAACCACTCACCATCTTCTTTACAGTACTTGGTCGCCTTTTCTGTAAAGAGCAATTATGTGATTAAGTCCAGTTACTTTAAATGCAATCAACAGAGGATTAAAAGTGAATGTGAGGGTTGACAAGATATCAGCGGAGCAACAACCACTTTGTCTCTCTGCTCACCTGTCGGGTCAAAGTCGACAAAATAATTGGGGCAGTTTT